CACTTGACTTCTATGTTTTCATCTTGTGTCTCGTGACCTTGCTCGACTCACTGATTATTTCTCAGAGTGTTTTTGGTTGTTGCTGGTTCCTCGGGATCTCCTGCAGTCGTCTCACCTGCAGCAGGGACAGGTGTACTTCTGTCTCCCAGACTGTGTGCTTTTTATTCCCTTTTCCTGCTTTTGTGCCAGCTGGAACTTCTCCCACGGTGTTGAGTGAGGGTGCTGAGAACAGGCATCCTTGCCTTGTTCCTGATCATAGAGGAAGAACGTTTGGTCTTCCTTTGGAATAATGTTAGCTGATGACGTGAGGTTTGCAGATCTCCTCATCACGTTGAAGAACTTCCCCTCTGCCTATTTTTGGGGGAATTTTTGTCATAAATGAGTATTGAATTTTGTCAAATGCTTTTTTTGCATTGATTGCTGTGACCGAGTGATCTTCCTTCATTAGCCTGTTGGTATAGTGTATTACATAGATTGATTTTTTTAAAAAATATTGAGCCAGCCTAGTATTCCAGAAATAAACTGTACTCGGTCGTGGTGTACAATTCATTCATATATTGATTAACTCTTTTTGATAATATTTCATCAAAGACTTTTAACATCTCTATTTAGGAAGGGTATTGACCAGCAGTCTTTCTTTTCTGTACGCGCGCTGTGTGGTTTTAGTATCAGGGTCGTGTTCGTTCCATAAAGTGGATTAGATTCTGTTTTCTGGAAGATGCTGTGTAGAATGCATGTTAGTTCTTTAAACGTTTCATGGAAGTCTCCAGTGAAACCATCTGGGTGTGCAGATTCCCCTTTCTTACAAAAATGAGAGTTTTCAAATTAGGAGCTCAATTTTCTTAATGGTTATTGGGCTTTTTAAATGGTCTGTTTCATATCAAAAGAGCTGTAATAGTTTATATTCTTTGGAGAGTTGGTTTGTGTCATTTATGCTGTCCGGTGAGAGTGTGTGGCGCTATCTGTAGGGGCCCCTTTCCCTTTGATGCCTGCAGAGTCTGTGACGACGCCCTCCGTTGCACTCGGTAACCTGAGTCTTTCCTCTCTCCCTCTGTTTTGTCAGTTTCGCTAGAGTCTTGTCAATTTTATTGCCTTTTACAAAGAGCCAGCTCATCAGTTTTCTCTATTTTGTGTTTGTTCTTGGTTTTTATTTATCTCCACTCTTGTGATTTTCGTCTTCTTTCCCTTTTCTTCCTTCAACCCCCTGCTTTGGCCTGATGTTCCTCTCCTTTTGCTGGCTTCTTGCGACGGGAACGTAGACTTCAACGTGAGACTATTTGTTTTCTGCTGTATGCACTGACTGCTAAGACTTCTGCCTCAGGGCTGCTTTAATTGTATCCCGTGCAGTTTGGTGTCTTTTAGTTTTCATTCGGTTCTACATATTTAAAAAAAAAGACTCCTTGGAAACTTCTTTGAGTCAACAATTATCTAGAACTGTGCTGTTTTAGTTTCCAGGTATCTGGAGATCTCTGCTACCTTTGGTTATGAATTTCTGGTTTGATGCTGTTGTGGTGAGAGAAGACACTGTATGATTTGACTTCTTTTAAATTTATGGAGGCCTATTTTATGGCCCTGGATATGGTCTATCTTGGTGTGTATTCCATGAACTCTTGAAAAGAATGTGTATTCTGCTGCTGCTGAGCGGAATGCACTGTAAGTATTGTTTAAGTCCTGTTGGTTGTTAGTGTGGTTGAGTTCTTCCATACCTTTGCTGATTTGTCTAATTATTCCATCAATTGTTGAGATGGGGGTGTTGAAGTCTCCAGCTCTAACTGTGGGTTTGTCCCTTCTTTCCTTTCAATTCTGTCAGTTTTTGCTTCACATATTTTGCTTCTCTTTTGTTTGGTGCGTATACATTTAGGATTGTTACGTTTTCTTGGTGGATTGACAGTTAATCATTATATAACTTTCCTCTCTATGGTAGTTTTTTTTTTTTTGCCCTGAAGTCTACTCTATCTAGTATTGTACTTTCCTTTGGTTAATGTTTGCATAATGTATCTTTTTTTATCCTTTTGCTTTTGTCCTAAATAGGCCATTATATTTGAAGTGAGTTTTTGTAGACTTTTTATAATTAATCCTTTTAAAATATTTTTTGGTCCACTCCGCTAATCTCTTTTAACTGGTATATTTTGACCATTTACGTTTAATGCAGTTACTGATATGTTAGGGCTCAAGTCTGTCATTTTTGTTTTGTTTTTTTTCCCCTCTCTGTGTTTCATTTCTGTTTTCTTTTTCCTGCCTCCTTGTGGGTTATTTCAATATGTTTTAGAATCCGTTTTTGTTTATCTGTAACTTTTGAGATTTAGTAGCTTCCTAAGTGTTTACCCTAGGCATTACATCATATACCTTTATTACCATCCACTGTGATATAGTTTGAGTGAAAACAAACAAGCTTATCTCCTCTTATTTTTTTACCCTCCCCCATTCATAATGTCTATGTCTTAAATAATTCCTCTACATACATGAGAATGCATTAACTTTTTGCTTCAGTTGTCAAACAACTTGAAAACTTTGAGACGGGAAGGAAAGCCTACTGTATTTACCTGTAGTTTTGCTTGCTATGTTCTCTTCCCTTCTTACCGTTTCAAGATTTCTTCTTTTAGGTCTCCTTTTTGTGTAGAGAGTTTTCTTGAGCCGTTCTTTTGGGATAGATCTGCTGGTGACAATTTCTCAGTTTCCCTTCTTCTGAGAATGTCTTGACTTTCCCTTCATTCTTATAGGACAGTTTTACTGAAGATGGAATTCTAGACTGACACGTTTTTCTTTCATCACTCAAAAAACACTGTACCCCTTCCTTTTGTCTCTGTGGTTTCTGATGAGAAACGCACTGTCACTCCCATTGTTTTCCCCTGTATGAAATGTATAATTTTTCCCTGACTGCTTGTAAGATTTTTCTTTGTTATTAGTTTTCAGAAGTTTAATTATGATGCATCTTGGTTTGAATTTCCTGGAGTTTATCCTATTTGGGCATTATTTTTTCAGCTTCTTGAGTCTGTAGGTTTCTGTCTCTTGCCAAACTTGGGACGTTTTCAACTATTATTTTAGCTTTTAGTTCTTTTTCAGCTTTCCTCTTCTCTTCTCTCTTTCTGGGACTCTGGTAAGTCAAATGTGGGATTTTTTTTGTTATAATCCTACAGATCCCAGAGGCTCTAGTTATTTGTTTATTTTCAGCCTGTTTTCTGTCTGTTGTTCAGTTTGATTAATTCCTATTCTTCTAGGTTCCAGTTCAGTGATCATTTCCTCTGTTCCCTTCCATTCTGATGTTGACTCCATCCACTGAACTTCCTTCATTTATTATATTTTTCAGTTAACATTTCCAGTTGGTTCTCCTTCTGTGGATGATTCCCAACATGCAGTGGTTTAACTTAAAATATTTAGACTTTTTGATGGTATGAAAGTGATACATATTCAGTAGAAACCGTACTGTAAATTTTGTTCTTCCCTGGGGTAGTGACATGTGGTATGAGCCCCTCTCATGACGCTGGGCAGGGCAGGAGCGGTGAGCTGCAGCTCCCAGTCAGCTGTGACATCACGAGGGCAGAGAACCAGCACACGGCTATTTCGTCCCCAGACAACCACTCTTTTTCACTTTCAGTGCAGTATTCAATCAACTATGTGAGATATTCAATACTTCATTATAAAACAGGCTTTGTGTTAGATGATTTTGCCCAAATGTAGGCTAATTTGAGTGTTCTGAGCGTGTATAAGGAGGGTGAGACTAAGCTGCAATGCTCAGTAACGGGGTATTAAAGGCGTTTTCGACACGATGTTTTCGACTTGCGATGAGTTTATTGGGACATAACCCCGTCGTGTCAACAAGGCTCTCTATTTCTTTGCTGAGGTTTTCTCTTTCTTTCATGAAGATTTCTGTTTTTTCATGTTTCCAGCATGTTCATAATTGCTTATTGAAGCATTTTCATGTTTACTGCTTTAAACCCTGTCAGATAATCCTCACATCTCTGTCCCCTCAGTGTTGTCATCCTTTGGTTGTCTTTTCTCCATTTGAGATGTTCCTGCTTCTTGGAGGTGATGACTGATTTTCAGTGGAAATGTGCACATTTTCATGTTATGTTATGAGACTGTGGACCCTACTTGAGCCTTCTGTTTTAGCTGGCTCATTTACACGTCTCTCTCACAAGGGAAGGGGGTTGCTGCCTCACTATTGCCAGGTGGAGGCAGAAGTCCGGGGTCCTCAGTTGACCTTGGCTGATAACCAAGTGGGGAGCTCCTTGTAATTGCTGGTAGGGTTGGGGGGTTCTTGTTCCCCACGTGAGACCATGGGTAGGGGACAGGTTTGATTATTGTTGGTGATGGAGGAAGTCCTGACTCTCCCTTACCCCTCTTCTGACCCCAGTCCTGCAGGGGGATGAAGGAGTGCCCAGTGCACGTGGAAATCCAGGCTCCCCGGGTTGCCTGCCCTAATACAGTGGGACCAGAGGGGGACTCGCTAGTGCCCGGTGGGGAGGAAAGCCCCAGCTCTGTGTTTTGGTTTATTTGACCTCCCAGTGGGATGTGGCTGCCTCACAACGGCCACACGAGGGGAAGCCCAGGCTCCCCCTTGGCCTTTGCTGCTGTGGGCCAAGCTGGCGGCCCCGGTTTTTCTGTGGTATGCATCTGACATAGAGCAGATAGTGTCTATGCTTGGCTGCCATGTCCTGTTTTTTTGCCTGGAGAGAACAGTCATTCATTGCAGCTTTTTTGCGCTTCTGCTGTTGTTTCTGGGTTTCTGGCTTCTTAGCTCTGGGATATGAGGCAGAACCCCAGCCTAGAGAACTCACCACAGCGCCACTCCTCGGGTCCCTGATTCCCAGTCTGCCTTCTTCTCTTCGCCTCCCCAAGTTTATTTTTCTGTACAACATCTTGGGTTTTTAGTTGCACTTCTTGGAAAGAGTAGGGAAAATTTGCCTACTCCATCTTTCTGGAAGCAGAGTGCAGTTCGTTCAGCTCAGAGATACAGGATGCGCTGGGCGTTCCAACGTTCTGCCTCTTGGAGCCTCTGTCTCACCATGCCCTGGTCTTCTTGTCCCTTGCAGCTCCGGAAATCTCTCCCGTCCCTGTGCCTCAGCCCACCAGAGCGCAGACGGTTCCTGTTCGAAGAAGCCTTTCTGTGGGGCCCAGACTGCCAGCGCCTCTGGTGAGTTAGAACATCTTCGCCTTGTCCTTGTCACCTGTAAGCCAGTCACTGTTGCTGTAGTGTGGTCCGCCTTACCCCTTTGGCACTGTGGCCAGAAAAGATGGTCAGTTCCTCGCAGTCAGGGCCCAAGTGCTTGTGTCGGGGTGGGCAGAGGGTGGGGTGGAGCTGTCCTCGGTGCTGGAAAAACAAGGCTGCCCCTTGGTGCCTGGCTAACGCGACCTGGAGGGGACTAACTGGGACCGCGGCTCGAGACTTGAGGTCTGCCTCCTCATCTGTGCTCTGAGGTGTCCCAGCTGTGTGTCCATGCTGGACTTGGCCACTGCAGCCCAGGGGGGACGGTGGAGGAGGTGTTACAAGTGCCCGCCTCTGTCTTTACTTGGACCCCAGGACACCTGTTTGTGTCTGATGCAGGGACCATGGAGGGACCTGTGGTTTTGCAGAGCCAAGACATGCCCTGAGCTCACAGTCTAATTAACGCCCGGAGCTCATTTTATTGAGCACCTACTGTGTGCTCCACTGGCATCGTTTCATCTGTAACGCATGCTTAAAATTGGCATTGGCAGAATGTGGCCTGAGTGCCAGGCTTTACCATGACCACCCTCAGAGGAGGGCGGAACCACTGCTGTTCTCAGGCGACGGGGGGGGCTCCCGGCCGTTGAGCTCCCTGCGCCCGGCCTTGCTGGTGTGCAGAGGCTCAGTCCAGCCCTGACTGAACGCACACTGGGCCCTTTTTGGAGCAACTCCTGGCCACCCGGCCCCAACCTACTTACTGGGGGCCATAAAGGGACACTATTTTACAACCTTTTTTAAAAAAATAATGGCCTGTCCAAGGAGACATTTTAGACCCTTTTTCCAAATCGTCCACCCCAGCGAAACTCGAAGGCTACAGAAATGCTGTACGTCTGTTTGTGTTCTGCTTGTGTGTCTGTGCTTTATGCTTAAAAACACTAAGATCCATCTCACCTTCCAAGATCCCATTGAGAATGCATGTCCTGGGTTATAAACACAGCAGGTGAGGCTGTTGGCGCCCTGCCCTGGTCCTGGTCCTGGGGCCCACTGGTTTTGGGGGTCACCGTCAGCTTTGGGGATGGCCTCCTAACCGGTTTCCCATCGCCAGCCTCCCAGGTCTCCAGTCCTCTCTGAAATCCATTCAGACCCTCACGCCGTCTTGTTTGTTCATCCTTTCCACGTGGCTGTGGCCTCTCCCTGCGCTCTGAGCTGCATCTCTGGCCTCTGCCTTCCTCCCAGTCCCAGGCACATACAGGCGTTCTCCTGGCAGGCGGACAGTGATGGGGCGCCGTGGAGGACGAGCCCGCGCCGTCCTGCCCTCTGCCTTTAGCTGCTGTTGGACGCTGCTCCCTCCGCAGGGACCCCCTGTCTGAACCCTGGTGCGCATGCACCTGCTCACTCACCGCTCGGGGGAGGGGTGCCCATGAGACACGTGACTCTAGTAGGGGATGTGGTCCGCTCTGTCTTCTAGAGGGGAGCAGGCTGGAGGGAAGGTCCTACCTGGGCAGCACTGCCCGGCACTGTTTGTAAGGCCTGCCTTTGACGTCCTCGGCCTCGGGCCTTGGGACTGACTGCCATTCATTGTGAGTGGCAGCTGGCGGCAGCGGCAAAGCCCACTCTGCATTTGGGGGTCATCTGTCCCCGGCCGGGGTGGGAGTGCTGCGTGGCTCCCACCGGGTCGAACCTCTCTGACCTCAGTCTGCACCAAGCCCTCCCACCACGAGTGAGGGACCCTTGACCAGTGTATCTGAGCTTTCGCTTGTCACCATTCTGGGCTGTGTGATGGGTGCTGCCCGTGCTCTGGGGTCCTTCGTCAGGGCTGGGAACCCCTGGCTTAGGGAACCCCTTACTGTCGGCCCCAAGTGGGCGGGGGGCATTTAGATTTCAGTGCCCGTCCCAGGGACTGTGGTCATCAATGTATAAAAGGGGAAAGAAAAAGGAAAACGCTGAACTGGGCGGCCCCTTAGGCCGGGAGTGACTTGCTGTTATCTTGGTTTGCCGGCCAGGGCTCTTTGGCCCGTGCAGTTGGCCATCTCTGGGACAGGGGACCAGGTGTTCACCGGGAGATTAGCCCCAAGAGAGCCTCCCCGGGCCTCTCGGCCGGGGGAAGGACGGCGGCCCTCGTGCTGTGGGTGGGGAGGGGCTTCCGCCTCTCAGGTGCTGACCTTGCATGAGCCGGGGGTGCTGGGTGGGGGGAGCGCGGAGGCAGTGTTCTCCGTCAGGCCAAGGTTTCTCTGGGTTCTTCTTCTCTTTCTCAGCTGCTTCTCCTGCCTCCTCAGGTGCCCGGGTGGAAGCCACCGAGGGGCCCTGCATCCTCAGTGGCCTCTGGATGCCCTGGAGGTCTCCACTCATCACATATGCCCCCCATGTGGGCGCCTCACGGCCCCTGCCCCGCCGCAGCTCCGTCATCTTACAGTGGGAACATTTATCACGTAATAAACCCAGGTGGATTCTGGGTTTCAGACCTTTTGTCCTGATCGCCTCTGGCTGCCACTCAGGAAACACGGGAAATTACCCTCGAGTGGTACTTAAGTTAGTCGCCAGGATGGTGCATCATTAGTGGCAGAAGGGTTCCACTTTAAAGTCATGGAGTTAATTGGCAGTGTTCTGAATTCTCACCCATGAGTCAAGATGTTAGAGTGGACGAATTCAAAGATGCGGTTTTCCTGAAGTGTTCGTGGTTATTGCCTGAAATTATTTTTTCCACTTGCAGGTGTAATCAGGCACCCCCTAGAGATTAATCAGATGACGTGGGAGAGTTTCTGATGTTCCGGGTGACTTTCCTGGCGGTGCCGTGACATGCCAAAAAGATTTGCAGAGGTGGAGTTTGGGTGTCTTCTGTGATGATTCTCAGGTCATTCTTTCCAAAACTGGGTGCCTGTGTGTGGTCCCAGATCAGGGCTTGGCCGACTGTGGCTCACAGGCCAAATCCTGCCCGCCTGCTGTTTTGACTGAATTGTGTGTGTGTGTGTGTGTGTGTGTGTGTGATAAAAAGCACATAGCAGAAATTTACCGCCTGAACCGTGTGTAAGGGCACAGGGCCGCGGCATTAGGCACATCCACAACACTGTGCAGCCACCACCTCCACTGTCTCCAGGACTTTTCCATCCTCCCAAGCTGAGACTCTGTCCCCCGCCCCTCTCCAGCCCCTGGCCCCAGCATCCTAGCCTCTGTCTCTGTGAGTCTGACTCCCCGAGGGACCTCCTGTGAGTGAAGTCAGACGGGGTTTGTCCTCTCGTGTCTGGCTGACGTCACTGAACATGCTGTCCTGAAGGTGCGTCCGTGTCGCAGCGTGTGTCAGAATTCCCTTCCTTTCTGAGGTCAGCAGTGCTCGCTCTGCGGAGAACACGGTTTGTTTCCTTATCACCGGTCGGGGGCGCTCGGGTTGTTGGTTTCCACCTTTCGGCTGTTGTGAGTGACGCTGCCTGGGCACCGGGTGTGCAGGTGTCAGCCTGCTGGGTCCCATGGTAGCTTACGGGCAACGTTTTCCACGTGGCCACAGCCTTTTGTGTTCCCAGCAGCCGTGCCAGTTGCTCTGCTTTCTCCGCGTCCTCGCCGCGCTTCCCCGTTGTCCGGGGCAGCCGTCCTGGTGGGTGTGACGTGGCCCCTCACTGGCTTTGGTTTGCTTCTCCCTGATGATCAGCGCGCTGAGCGTGTTGCCATGCGCTTACCGGCCATTCTTGGGGAAAGTGCATTCAAGCCCTCTGTCCGCTTTTCAAGAATTCTTTGGTTGAAGCGTGGTCAGTGAGCAACGTTCTGTGAGTTTCCGGCACGCAGCACAACACTTCAGTCACACAGGAGCAGACATGCATCCGCTGTCATGTTCTTTCTCACCGTAAGGTGCTGCAAGATGCTGAATACAGGTCCCTGTACTCTGCGTATAAACTTGTTTGTTTCATGTGTATTACTTAGTATCTGCAAATCTCGAACTCCCAATTTATCCCTTCCCACCCAGCCCCCCCACTGGGAACCATAAGTTTGTTTGCTATGTTTGTGAGTCCGTTTCTGTTTTGTAAACAAGTTTGTCCTTTTTTTTTCTGATAGATTCCATGCGTAAGTGATACCATATGGTATTTTTCTGCCCATTTTTGTATCAGGTGTTTGGTTTTTTGTTATTGAATGGTGAACGCCCTTTATATGTTCTGGACATTAATCCCTTGCCAGATATGTGGTTTGCACGTCTTTCCTCCCACTCTGGGGGCTGCCTTTTGTAAATAAAGTTTTATTGTCACACCGCCACGCTTCCTCCTGGGGTCTTCTCTGGCTGCAGCGGCCCAGCTGAGTGGCTGTGACCAAGGCCGTGTGGTCTCAGAGCTGATAACATTTACCAGCTGACCCTTGACAGAAAGTTTGCTGACCCCCATTTCAAATGATCTGGGCACGTTCAGCACCAGGAACCAGCCACGCTTCTGTGATCAGGTGCTGAGAAGTGTCTGTCTGCACACCCTGGGGCACAAGCGCGCAGTGTGCGTGCGCCTGGCGTCCTCCTGGTCTGAAGCCCTCAGAGTCTTGGTTAAGCTGTGTGGCTTTCTTTGGTGACGTTTGTGTAGGATGCTGGCCCAAATGGGGGACTCCTTCCTGCTGGGGTGCAGGAGGGCTGCGATTAGGCACAGTCTCCCGGGACCCCAGAAGGCTGACGATGGGCCGGGTCAGGCCCCCAAAGGCTGGAGTTTATCCCGTTCATCGTGCTCCTGCCATCACAGGGAACACCAGAGATTTAGGAGACAGCCTTCCTCGGCTTGGAGCTGCGCCTTGGGGAGGTTAGGTCCAGGCAGTGAGAGGGAGGCCCGGCCTGGCACTGCCCGGGGCGTTGAAGGAGGAGCTGGCTGTGTATCCAAGAGGTTGCGGGACCCAGACACATCCAGCAGCTCCGCCATGTGCAAACTGCTTCCCAGGGGGTCACCCATAGCCCCCTGCATCCCAGATTGCAGGGAGCCGGGGAGCGATGCAGGTGAGGGGTGCAGACAGCGCTCCAGAAGGGACCACGCTCT